GTACTAGAGCTTTGAAATCAAGGTTCGAGCAACTGCTAATGACCTTCGTGAGATTGCGATGACGAATGTGTCGCATTGTCTCGCATTCTACGTCAAAACTCTTGAATGCACCTTCTACTTGCAAGTTGAATACCTTTATAGCCAAAATTGTGGTATCTTCAAGGATAGCTTCGTAGACAGAACCAAAACTCCCCATACCAAGCAAGTTGCTCTCACTAAACCCGTTAGTTGCTCGAAAAAGCTGTGGGTATGTGATTCTTGGAGGTGTTATTGTTGGTAAGAGATCAACATTGGATGGAGTTTTATTTCTTCTTCGATATTTTATGAACAAGAACATAAAGGTTGTAGCAAGCAGTATGGATGCAATAGGTAACAAAATATATAAAGCTAGAGCCACTCTTTCTTCCCTCAGATGATAAAAGGAACAAGTATGGCACGGCGGGACTTGAGAATTTGGTGAACCGCATAATGCTTCATTCGACATGAAAGATTGAATGGTGAAGTTTGCAAAAGGTCCCCCATTTGGAATTTGTCCTCTTAACTTATTGAAAGAAATGTTGAGATATGAAAGATGAGACAGTGTCTCTAAGGACTTGGGGATCACATCGGAGTGGTCATTATAGGATAGATCTAAGAATTCCAAGCTCACCATACTGCCAAATGAGTCAGGTATAGATCCTTGTAACTTGTTGTGAGCTAATGAAAGAGTAACCAAGTTTTCCAAACCTATAATTGTACTTGGGATTTTGCCTGTGAATTGGTTCATTGAAAAATCTATTAGTGTTGCAACTTTGAAACTCCCAAGTTGTGGTGGTAGATTGCCATTTAAAGAATTTGAGGACAGGTTAATTTCCAAGATATCTTTAAGATTGCCCAACCTTGTAGGTATGGCGAACGTTAGTTTGTTTGAATTGAGGTAAAGATATCTTAAAGATGTAATATTCCCTAAGCATTCAGGAATCAATCCAAAAAGTTTATTTTGGTTCAATCGTAGATCACCCATGTTCTTGAGTTGGCATACATCATCTGGAATGGACCCTTGAAGTCTATTTTTGGAAAGATCCAATATTCGAAGCTTTCCTAACAATTTAATTGTAGAGGGAATGAATCCGATCAAACCATTTTGTGGCAAAGTCAAGATTACCAAATTGCTTATATTACCAATTTCACTAGGAATGTTGCCTTTGATTCCACAAGAATTTGCGTCAAATTTCTCAAGGGAAGCAGAGAAATTTCCAAAGTTGTCGGAAGAATGCCGTCCAGAGGATTATGAGTTATCGACAATACTTTTAAATCTTTGCAATTTACCAAGGAAGTGAGGAAGCTCAATTCTGGAGAGGAAGAAGATGACCCACTCGTCAAATTGTTTCCTTGCAAGTTGAGTGATTGGAGTAGTCGTAAATTACCAAGCAAGTTCGGAATTGAACCCGTAAATGCATTGTTACCAAGGTCTAAAGAAGTGAGTTTAGAAGCATTTGAAATTGACTCGGGAATAATTCCAATGAGGTTATTTCCTCCAAGATAGAGCACATTAAGATTGGGTAGCCAAAGCCCTATACTTGATGGAAGATTGCCTGACAAGTTATTTCCCGTAAGCGACATACCTTGAAGTGATGAGATATTAAAAATTGATGTTGGAATGGCACCCATTAAGTTGTTAATAGCAAGTCTTAGCTCTCTCACATTTGGAAGCTCACTAATCTCTTTTGGTATCAAACCTGCCAAAATGTATAAACACAGAAACTTGAAGAAAAAAAAAAAATCGATGGAACCAATTTTTTAACCCAAAAAAAGAAAAAGAAAAAAGAATCTTCGATAAGAAAAATTATTAATTAAGGCATTCACCTTGGTAACTAACATTAAGACAAAATATTCTAACTTGCACAATTGACATCATCTTTTTTGTTTCTTTTGATGGAGTTATACCTACTGCTAATGGTTGCATTCACATAACTCTTCTTTTACATTTTAGGAGTACCCATTAGTATTTTCCATGTACTATATGGCCAATTTAGAAGACCATATGTAGATGAGAAACCTTTTGATTGCTAATTAACAATTCAAGATGCGTAAATATTATGGAAGGAACATGTAATTCAATGTTCAATTTTGTAACATATAAATATGACAAGAAGTTATAAACGGTGCAAGATGAAAAATAAGGATAAATTACACTAATATTTCCTTATGTTTAAAGAAAATATAGCAAATTCATAGTTTTGGCATAATTACACCGAATTCTTTTTTAACAAAATTAAGTAGATCAAAACTAATGCAAATGATGTAAAGATACAAGAATAATCAAGGTAAAATAAATATTTCTGTATAAAAGAGATGACAATATGTCTAAATAATTACTAATGAAAAAAGGATTAATTGTTATATAATCCTAAAGGGACCAGTTAATTATATCAAACTTATAGGGTTTATTTTATTTTTTTCAAATCTTAGATGAGGTCAGTGTAATTTATCCAAAAAAAATTCCACTCGTCTAATATATCCCAAAAGAAGAAGAAGAAGAAGAAGAAAAAGAAAAAAAAACAAAGAACAATAAAAAAGAAGAAGAAGAAGCTCTACTCAAAATGTATCCTATTCGGTTTCAATTTTACAATTCATTTTTTTTTTTTGAAAAAATGGGAACTAGTTTGACAAAAATAAACTGCAAATATATATTTTTGAATATCTAAAAATTATTTTTGCCTTAAAAAAATTTTAAAACTATAGGAACTGATGAGTGTTTTGTATTTGTTATGATTTTTTCACTAAATTAGTTTTAGGTTTTTTGAAAAAATTTAGAATTTTTTTAAAAAAAATCAATCTATATAGAGTTGAATCTTCACTTCAATTGGAACAAGTGTAATACCTATGTTATGCACGAAAATAAATAAGTAATAAAAAAATAATTTTAAAAATTAAATAATAACATAAAATTTGTTTAAAATATATAGAAAAAATAATTTCTAATTGACTAAATTTTAACTATCCTCATTCAAGTTACGCCTAAGAGTAGTTAAAAAAATTAAGAAATTTTATTATTGTCTTGAAGCTCATATAGTCTTTCAGATAAAAGTGATTTTACTTAATATATAATACAGATTAGGAGAATTAAGATTTAGCTAGTCGTAGAGTCAGAAAAGAGTTGATCATCATAAATAAATATATTACGGAGGGAAAAAGACTTAAACTGACATGGAATAAGAATAGTAAACAAATATATGAATTTGTTTAAATCATTTGAGTATATAACTTTTGATAGAGCATAATGAAGAAAAAAAATTTCACATAGCCGATCTCAATTGATTGGGACACAAGACTTAGGTCTTGCTTGGCATATTTTAAAAAAACACATGTTAGTTTAACACATTATTTTATTTGGGTCACATCACCTCTTATTTGCGTCACATCACTTCAAGTTCAACTCCAATTCACATTTTACATTTTTTTTGGGTAAAGGGTAAAAAAAATTACTAATCTAGCACTCTCCAAACAACCTCTTAGTTCGATTTATTCATAATTATAATGCTATTATATTTCTATGTTTAAAGAAAAATGATATGTAAATTCAAATTTTAGACTTACTTTGATGATGGGATTGCGTTATTTATTTTATTTTCCTCTATCATATTTTGGATTATTTTTGCTCTCTTATGTTGGTTTGGAGATGGTATGAGAGATGAGACTTGTATTATGAATGGTGGACTTATGCTATGGATGGATGGAAAATATACTATGGTACACATATGTAAGTTATAATATTTGTAAGTTTTATAAATGATACAATTCAATATTATGAGAGTTGTAACTAAAAAAAAAAATAAATTATAACTGAATATCACATATAACTATACAACTCTGGGATCATAATTAAAATTTTGTCATAACTAATATCACAATGTGTCATAACTAACAACACAGTAAATTATAACCACTGACTCAAAAATCGTAACTAAAGGTGTATATCATGCACACCTAAAAGAGGTGTGCACCATAAAATTTCCCTGGAGGACTTAGGTTAGATAAGTATCTGCCTTGCGCAACTGAGTTGGTAATCAATGCATACAAGTTTGCAAGGAAATCCTATGGGACACACCTTATTACAACTTAGTATAATTTTATCATTAAATTTATAACACCAATCATAAAATGCATAATCTCGCTATAAATTAGCTTAACAAAAGATAACGTAACCTTGCCACAAGCTTTTGTTACATGAATCACAAAATTTTGTACATTTTGTTATGCTAATTTGTGTTGAGATTACATATTTTGTGATTAATGTCATAAAATTTTGTGGTAAAGTTATACCATTTGTGATAAGATGCTTTTGGTACATACCTTACACCATAGGATTTCCCAAGTTTGCAAGGCATAGATGTAGCTTGGAAATTATATGATTTATTGCTATAACAACCCAACTTGTTCGGGCGGAGTGAGAGGTTGTTCAAGCCCGAGCTCAAGTTGTGTTAAGAGTTGTCTAAGTCTGGAGTGTAACTCGAGATTGTCTTCCCAAGTCCAATCCAAATTAAACTCGAATTGTTCAAATTGCACATAAATTTTAGTTGTTTTTTTTTTCCTTTTTTTTTAGTGCAACTAAGTTATTTAATTTGTCAAAATTAGACTCTAATTACATTTGTTTTATAAAATCATTAATAATATCAAAACAAATAAGTTATTATATAATGTAAGAAAGATGCTGCTATAGTGATTTTTACAATTTATGAGTGATAAAGTATTTATTTTTGTGTTGTGTTATTTGTTTGTATAATATATATTCAATATGATCTAAGGATCTAAATTATTTTAATATCATCCAACGAATAATAATTTTTATATATTTATATATATATAATTTGTGCTTTGGGTTGGTTGGGTTGTTTGATATCTTTGCTCAAACTCGTCCAAATTTAATTTGGGCTTTTGAATTTTTGTCCAAACCCGTACCGAATTCAAAAATATTTTGTTTAAGTCTTAAAAAAATTCAAGTTGAGCTCAAGTTGTTCGGATTAACCCCGCCCAAGTTATACTACTAAACTTAATTCTTATAATTTGAAGAAATTAGAAAAGTTTTTGAGGACATTAGGATTGTGTTTGTGGGGATATATTTTCTGAATACCAACACGTGGCATGGTGACGCCGACGTGTCAGCCGAGGTGCCACGTGTCCTGGTCGTGACGCCGAGATGATCTCGGCGAGGCCGAGGTTAACTCCAAAGATATCGGAATCCGAGATAAACGAATAATGGACAAGAGTCCTAAGACGAAGAGGGGACTTAACCAAGATAAGGATAAAACTCTTAGGGAGTTTATCTTTATCTCTTAAAGAGTCCAAAGTAAGCACTAAATTGGAGTTCATAGAAGTCATACTTCTAGTAGGACTTGGATTGAGTATATTATAAAAGAGAGGCACCCCCGTGGGTCTAAGGTATGCAATTTATGTTTTGAGTATTAAGTTTTGCACTTGATTATCTTTGAGAGATATACTGACTTGATCGTCGGAGTGCCCCCGGGTGAAAGAACCACCGCCGGAGCCTTTTCTTTCTGTTACAGGTTACTGAAGCCATCTATTCTGCCTGTGCTCTCCAGCTGGTTACTAAGCAGGCAGTGTGGTCAGATTTTCACCCACACAATTTGGCGCCGTCTGTGGGAAAGAAGGAAGAATAGATGGCCAGTAACGGACAGCAGGAAAATATTGGGGATGACGTTCCCGCTGGGAGTGGCAGACCAATTGACCTTGACATTGAAGGAGACAACCACAATACAGAAGCCCGTGACCAGGGTCACAGAGAGAAAGACGTCATCCAGGAAGGCGACACATCAAAAAGGACAGACCAAGAAAAGTACTACAATGAAGATAACCTCCAGGTATGGAGGGACAGATGCCTACGGAGGGATGAGGAAGTAAAAGAATTGGCGAACAAGCTGGCAGACCTTCAGTCAGTCGTCAACTTCATGATGCAGAATAATGTTATGCAGCCACCATACCCGCTGCAAGATACGCCAATGCCAGCAACCAACGCCCAGAAGGGCGGAAGAAAAACAATCCCCGACGTCCCTCAGCATACCAGGAGCGGAAGGCATTCTCACCGGCCTTCTAGGGAAGTCGGACGACAAGAATCGAGGCAAGAAGAGTCCCGAAGGACGCACCACATGAAGAATCCAGAGCCCAAAGAACATCGGCATGTTTAAAGGCAAGCACTCTGCTTTGACACAACCCATGGAGAAAGATCCAAATGGGCCCACCACGAGGACGAAAGCAATGTACCAAAAAGACTAAAATCCATAGACAGCCGAGCTCCAGGAAGGAGCAAAGAAGACCTGAGGGACTACCTCAAAAGAAGGCAGCAGAATGTTGAAGCCGAGGTAAACTCCCCGGTAAAGCCGAAGACAGCCTTCTCGGTGGAACTGGACAAATTCGAACCACCAAAGAGATTCAGCATGCCAAGGTTCCAAATTTATGATGGCAAATCAGATCCAAACTTTCATGTTGGACTATACTTGAATTCAATGGCGTTATATAGCGGGAACGAGCCGTTGCTCTGCAAAGTATTCCCCTCATCCTTTGGGGAAATTGCATCTGATTGGTTCCATAAATTACCAAAGGGAAGCATAAAGACATGGGAAGGCCTGGCCGAGATGTTTGTGGCCAGGTTCGTAACCAACAAGCTGCAACCCCTGAGGGTTGATGCTTTGATGGCTCTAAGAATCACCAAGGAAAAAGG